TACACACATACACACACACATACACACACATACACACACACACACACACACACACACACACACACACACACACACACACACACCTTGATTGCCACTACTAGCCTTAATAGCCACTACTTAGACCTGTTCTACAGGAGCAGCCATGGACAACTTATTATTTTACTATGACATGCTGTTAGGGCTTCAAAATGACTCATAAAGAATGTATTTTCTTTTCCTTTATAAAGGTAACAATGTGGCAATAGAAAACCAAGCCCTTTAAACCAAAAATAAAGAGAAAGAAGGAAGGGAGGGAGGAAGAAATGGAGCTACCACAGGACAGGGCTGCCATGACTGTCAAATCTGTCCCCCAGCTTCCTGGCAGCCGGGACAGAAAAGGAACAAATCCTGCCCCGGCACTTATCAGGAGGGAAGAAGCCCATGGTTATTTGAGTCCTTTAAACCCCATGCTCAGTTCTCACCTGGAAGCCCACATAAGGACATTGATAGACACAATAATTAATGTTTTTGGCAAGAGCTTTACCGCAAATGCCAATTTTTGTCTGCCATTTCTTGTGCAGGCCTTTAATTAAGGTCAAGGGCTTAGCACCGAGGCAGACATCGGTGAGGGCTTGGCTACCCTGGTTCAACAACTGACTGCAACACAATGCAGGCTGGGAATAAAGGGCTGGTTAGCACTACAAGCGAGGTGGAGCAGGAGCTCAGAGGATCGTGTGTGCCGCTGTCTCTGAGCTGGGATGTGAAGCAAGCTCTAACGAAGGAGGCAGCCCTTGGGACTCCATGACTAGGAGTCGACACGGAGGAAGTGGGGTGAGGGGCAATCTAGGCTTGGTGCACAAGTGCAGGGGCCTTGTGAAATGGAAATGCTTGGCCCATTTGGAGAATGTCAAGCTGTCTGGAGTCGAGAGAAAGATGCTAATAAGACTTCCATTAAATGAGCTGGGTTTGCCACTTGGACATTTTCTGGTTCTTCCAAGACAACTTTTTTGTTGAGTTAAGCGAAAATGAATGAGAATCAGATGGACCACATTTCTCTTGAATACACACGGGCTTAACAATGAAGGGGGAGAAAGAACTTGACAGAATGCGTCCCGGCTTCTGCCAAACCCAAAGTATTTGAGGAATCACACAGGACGCAGCTCGAACCCAGACACATGCCCGGATTCTCCACCTCCTAATTGCAGCTGCAGCCGGTTACTACGATGAATTGTGTCCATGAACATGGGGTCTGAGTGAGGGGCCGTGTTAGAGAGAGTGGCTGCTGTGGGGTGGTGAGCTGGCTTCAGCCTCCAGGAACCGGTTCATTGCCTTGCAGGGAAAGAGAGTGGGCCAATGCGTAGTTTCTTAAGCTATTGAATCCAGCTCGCTTGTAGAGAACAATTAAAATCTGCTATTTAACGTCATTGTATCGTGTGTGGAAAGAATTCAGCTTCTCTTGTTTCCTACCTCGGGTATACAAAGGGGAAGAAATATGCTTTGTCTCAGGGTCTATTCACCCAGATGGGTACCCAATGGGAGAAGGGAGCGGGGAAGAGAGCAAGACCCTATAGTACTGTGTATTCGAATTCTGAACTCTTGGCTAGAAGACCATGGGTGTTTGAAAACTAGAAGGAGCCTGAGACCCGGAGAAGTTAACTGATTTGTCACTTGACTACAGCTGGTCATTTTGGAGTAGGAACTCAAAACTAGAGCTCCGATTCTACCGTTGTTTTTCTGTTTTTTAAGGAAGGATATCATGAGGCTCAGGCTAGCCTCAAATTTACTGTGTGGTTCTTCTCATCCTCCTGCCTCTACTTCTCAAGTGCCGGCAGCCCAGGCACACACTACCTTGCTTGGCTGATGTGGTTTGAGGCTGAAACCCAGGGCTCTGTGCATGCCAGGCAAGTACTCTACCAGCTAAGCTGTGCTCCCAGTCCCATGATTCTTCTTCTTCTTCTTCTT